CCCGCAAGCGGGCGGCGACTCAGAGTTCCATCAGTGAGGAGGGTGCCACCTGGCAGATGGCCCGCACCAGGCGACGCTCAGCTCGCACAGCAGTGCGGCAGCACAGCCAAGCAGCTAAAGAACAGTCTGACTCCAGCATGCAGATGGCAGGTTTGGAGGTCTTCAACCTCATCCCGCAGGTGGACTTCGGCAGCAGCTCACCAAGTGACTCCTCATGCTAGGACACCAACACCAGCGACGCGGCTGGCGCCGCAGGAACAACCAGCAGGAAATCCGCGCCAGCAGGCTTCCCCAGCTCATCCCCATGAATTGTATAATCCAACATATCATCCACAAGCTGGAACGCAAGGCCCAGATTCCGGCCATACGAATAGGCCGCCTCCACAATCTCCGGCGACGAATGGCCCAGCAGCGCCGCCGCCCGACACGACTTGCTAATCAGGCTCGCGGACTTCAGGTACGTCTTTTGCAAATAGTACGTGATCGTCTGCTCCGTGAAGGATGGGTTCAACTCATCCCGCTCCGTGTTCTTCAACTGCATGAACTCGCCCTCGATCAGGTTCGCGATAACGGTGGACAGCAGCTCGATGACCTCTGGGTCGCGCAGGCGGGCAAGCGCAACTGACGCACGGCCCAGGAGAAAATCGCCCGCCAGCACGGCCATTTTGTTCCCGAATGCCAGATTCGCGGACACGGTGGAGCGCCGCGTGACGGCGTTATCGATCACGTCGTCATGCAGCAGCGAAGCCGTGTGGATTAGCTCTGTAATCTCCGCCAGCCGCTGTTGGGCGGGGAGGATGTCTGTGCCGTTCCCGCTGTCGGCGTCGTAGTTGGTGTCAACATTCCCTGCCAGCCTAGTATACGCAGCCTCGAGCGAGGACGGGGAAGTGGAGGAGAGCAATGCGCTCTGGTCCGGGTTTGTATCCGCCAGTATGGCAGGGGATGTAATGCCATCGTTGATACCGGCAGCACTAACGAATGGGACCTGGCGGGTCGTCTTGGGCCCGTGGGCCGTCGCCTGCGACATGAGCAGGACTAAGAGGGGCCGCACGTGCTTGCCTTCGCTTGTTGTGTAGTATTTTGCGACTCGGTCGAGCAGGGGGTGGCCGGAGCCGAGAAGCTTGTGGATATTCTTTTTCATGAACTTGAGCTCTTTGGCGACGATGCGGAGGGGGTCAATGGTTACCGGGACGCCGCCCGGCGTGCCTGGCAAGCGCGGGGAAGTTCCTGGTGAGCGCGGTAATAGTGCTGGTGAGGGCGAGGAGGAAGAAGGTGATGCCAGTGGTGGGGGAGGAGGAGGAGGAGGAGGGCTTTCTTTCGAGAATAGATTTTGGGCGGCGGAGGCGGTAGAGCCAAGGGCCGATTGATTTTTTCGGCGCGAAGGATGGTAGCTGCGGATGTTGTAGGGCACATGGGGAGATGATAGTGAGCTGGAGCTGGA